AAAACTTTAAACTTTTGTAAAAAGCCCGGCGTTTTCGAACATTGTAACTTTAACTCTTTCCGACGATGGTAATTCTAGATTAGGATAGATTAATCTTCAGTGACAGATGGACGTGCGTCGAGTTTCATACAGTAAAATCTCGTTAAATGCACTAATTTCTATACGGTCCAGGATACATGATCATTGTTTGCCGGCGAGCTTCGAACGTAAAGAAGGACACCGAATAAAAAAGAGGACGGAGCGAAAACATTCGAAAATATACGAACTCTACGATAAACGCACAAGTTCAGTCCCGAGCTTGTGCATTTAAAGGAGACTTTACTGTACCAAGCTTCATCGAGTCGAAAGGTTAAAAGTCGAGTTAAAATGTCGATGGTTACAGGGTTATCGACCCCTTTTCATAATTTGAAATGGAAACCACATGTAGATCGTGTAAATACGTGCTTACTTCGTCCTGATATCGGTAACGAGGAGGTCGCCACCGTCGCCGATGCGAATAAACAAACGGATGTATGCCAGCAGAAGCGATTTGCGGATGCCACGTCGAGCGTACTCTGGTTTCACGGGTGGCGTCTACTACGTTACGCCAGATTCGGAGCGTGGAGTGGCCACGACCGTTGATAGGTAATTACGAGTCAAGAGAAAGGAGCCAACAAAACCGAGAGAGGGAGAGTTTAACAGACAGATTCTGCACGCATGCGCGTGACGAGCGTGTAAACCGTCCACGCTGATGGACGTGTGCCACGTGAACCGCATAATGAGTGCCGATCGTTGGCTGCTCGTTCTCGCCCACCCGACCTCCGATCCTCGTCTCCCGTGTGACGATAACGCGACGACCTCGAGATAAATTCGTCATCCGCGGTGTTCAATGGCACCTCGACCCCAACCGACGAAAGAAGAAAGTTTGTTGCGCTGCCAATTGGTTGCGCAATCGCTCCGAAATGTCAACGAGGTAAAAGGATCGTTCCTGGCCGGCATCGATCCCATGGAAACGATGTTCCTGAATTTCTCAGAGTGCGAAACGAACAGAAAACGAAAGATTCGACTCGCAGAGAGTCGGGTAATATACCTCTTTTTACGATCCAGAGATGGTAACCCCATCGAACGAGATCACGTTCAAACAACGAGGCATTAACGACGGTAGGGGGAGATGGTTTAGGAAAAAGTGCGAGCGTCCAGTTGCGAGACCATACTTCTATGCAGATGCGGTCCTTGAGGAGGCTGCGGGTTCTCCGGCGGAGGGAGCAACGATTCTTCTTTCCTTCTCGCTGGCCAGCCGGCTCCGTATTTTTATAGCTTCCTGCAGAGCATTCCTGTCCGTCCTTTCCCTTCGTACCGGTTAGCGAACGGTCTCGGACGAGGTCTTCCAGCGATGAAGAAAAAGATCGGCGACGGAGCCAGAGGAGGTAGAATAGACGCCGAGCCTGACCTTGTGCCCAAATGCCAGTTTCTGTAGCCACAGTCGCCGATTGCTTCTCTCTGTTCCCTCGTCCCTCTGCCTCTCAGCGCGGAAAGGTCGACGAGGGAGGTGGGGAAGGCTTGCATAAGCGTTAAATCGTGCTCGTTACACGGAGAGGCCACGTAATTGAACGTATTTGGAGCAGAATAACAACGCGGCGCCGCGAGCTCGAGTTTCTTCGAGGAAAAAGCCCCAAATCACCGGCTCTTCCGCCGCAGTCGGACTCCTTGCTCGATCGAGGCACGCTTGACACGAGCCACTTCTCGAATCGGTTGCTAATGCGCGAGTGGGCTCGAGGTTGGAACCAGAGATGTTTCAGTGGAAAGTCCGGGTAAGTGCAAGAAAATCGGGATCCAAACATTGCAGTTATCCAGTCGAGATTTTGTATTTTGTGGTTACATTTGGCTCGAGGGAAAGAGAAAGAGGTTCGAGAAAGAAAAGCAGTCCTAGAAACACCTCTAGTAAGAGAAGATGGGAGCAATGATTTCTGCGTTAATGGAACCGATAGAAAAATCATGGAGGACTATATTTACCTACCAAGCACTAGGAAAGTCTACAACTCGTTGAATCCGCGAGGCGAGAATTACGCGCGGAAGAACTCCGACATAGGTCTTACTGTGGACCCTGTAATACTGAGCCGCGTACTCCAGACCACCAATTAGGTGTTTCATAGAACAGGCGCCGAGCGGGGTCTTCGAAGGCCTAGATTTCGAGCGAAATTACGTGGTTCCAGGAATCTCTCGAATTTCACGCGCCGAACCAGCACGCTCGGGGCACGGGTTTATCGATCGTCTAGAGCCGATAACGACCGTCGAGCCGCGCTAAGGTTTCCACGATGCACGAAAACCGACGAAACCGGGGAGAAAGCGCACGGTTGGGAGTGCGTTCCGCAGGGAGCAACACGAACATCGCCGTGGTTAATGAAGATTTCGCGTGACATCGGAAAATACCAGCTGCAATCAATCCTGGATACGTGTTTCGGCGATCTCGTTGGAAAAATCGTTCAAGGGATAAGGCGCGAGAGCGCTGTCTCTAAATTAACGTTTCCTTCTAGCGCACGCTGCTCTGAAAACTGTCTAAAGATTGCTAGATTTACAGGAGCATATTTTTGTTTCCACAGCGCAAAGTAAAACGGTGTTGGACACGAGGTACGCTGGAACGCACGCGTGGCTGTGATAGCCTGAAATTGCCAGAACCTGTGACCGACCACGTCGCAATTTACCCGCTGATGTTCGTCGTTAAGTCAATGATAGGCGGCGAAAAAGAGCGCGTAGGACGAACGGCACGGTTTCCCTGATGAAACGAATTTACGTGGCGTCGGTTGGTCTCGACCAGAGACGAGCAAAATTTCGTTCGAACGACGAGTGAAAATAGCGACTCAAATTCTTGTAATTATATTCACATTTTTACTCGACCAAGTAGAAAATTGTTTACCTTCATTCGTGGTTTGAACGTCGATCTAGATAAGAATCCTGCCGATCCGTACCCTCGGGCTGCCGCCGTACCGCGAATCGAACGAGCTCGTCTCCTCGACCGGTTTCGCGGAATATCCAGCATTTTTGCAGAGATAAACAAACGGGAGGAAGCCGATCCGCGTCCAGCGCGAGGCCGGTTTATTTTCGCTGGGGCCGCCGCGGACAAACAAACTCGCGGAGAGAGGGCTGTTCAATACCAATGTCACGGGAGAGAACGCGTAATCGCGATGGCGCAGGGCCACCCTCGAGCCATAGTTTTTCTCTTCTCTTTTTTTGCAAAAGAAGACCGTGAATCACGGACTGGCGTTTAGGAGTGAAAATAAACCGTTGTAAAGTTACTTCACCGCGGGGTATTTCGCGATACCTGAACTCTTTGTTCGAAGGGGTACACGCAGTTGCCAAAATTTAGAAGGTCATCCCTGAGGGGTAACCCTTTGCACTCGAGGCCTCTTTCTGGTATTTAAATGCTTTCTTAGCATTCTATGCCCAGGAATGCTAAGCTTAGATTGAATTTGTGATTGGAAATTAATTTGGGATTTGAAAATCGGGTCATGTTTATGTTGGACATTTATATTCAAATAAATATATAGGCAACAGAGTAATGTTTCACTGCTAGTAATACGGTCAGCTAGGCAACCTCTGGATTTGCAAGCGCGGATAGAACTGCCTGTCGTACAAAATTCGAAGCTATTCCTCGGGTCGTCTTCGATACCCAGGTAGTCGACAGCGTCGACGAGTGTCTTGATTGTGCGAACACGGTTTATGACGCTAAGCCTAAATTGCCGTGTTAGGCTCACGTACCGAGTGCGTACAGTATTCAGAGGGAGCAAAAATATCTAGCAACCCCAATAAAGCCCGAGTTCGGCGACGAACTCGGTGTCGCATCTGGCTGTGTTGTTTTTCCTACAGTATTCGAAATACTAGTTGATTTTAGCTAAAATCCAACAGTTTACATCTTCGAGAATTATTTATGAAACTTCGAGTTCTAAAGGAATGAAACCCTACCAACTATTATTGCTGGTTGATTTACTGCGTCGAACTACTTTACTCAAACTATTCCGTCTACATATATAATCATCGTCGCACCACGATAGATGCAACGATGTCCTAACGAGAATTTCGAGTCGCTCGGTTCGATTACCGAGGCAGGTCCCGTCTATCGCAATAATCCGACGGAAGTTGGCAGCGACTCGCAGCTGGCGCCCGGAAACACACGCAGGTACACGCACGGACGCGTCCTGCCCCCCTCTCCCCAGGCCACTTTTTCGTCTCCACCTTCTTATAGTCGGCAGTCACGCGAGAGCAAACAAAGAAGGCTGAAAAGGTTCGAGTCGCGCAAGAAACGCTGCGCGCAGCTGCCTCGAGGCGTTCGCATTCTCCGTTTCCTGACGGGACGAGGTGCACGCAAGGTGCGAGAACTCGAAGGGCAAAGGGGCCAATCGACACAGGGGCGAGAGATTTGTCTCAAGGCGAGAGGGTTATCGAATTATTTACTCCCACCCTGCAAGCCTGTTTTGCAATTCTAGTTTCGGGGTGATCCTTTATTGGTACGTTTGACCCGCAAATTTAGATTTAACGTATTTGGAAGTTGACACGTTCCGTGCCAGGTGTACACATAAATATATTGATTTAATTTGCTGGGAACATATGTGTTATGACAAATTTACTTCTGTGACACAACACCACAAGAATGAAGCACAAGTGGTACACGACAACAACTGGTTTAAACAAGCTAACTACTCAAGGATCGATGATGTGATGAAATATTGCGTGATGATACAGACAGTTCCATAAATACCCGCTACAAGTTTCACATTCCCAAATAAATGTTTCATTATAAATATAATAAACATAAATGCCTCATCGTCTAAATTAGACAAAGTTCTTGGATGAAAGCATTAAATATCCTGATCAAGACAAGATCCTGACAAGTTGGGCGAAAAGGGCTTGGCACGGAACGTGTTAAGATATCGCCGAGATAAAACTGTTCTTCTTATCAGAAATTGATGGAGTACAGAGAGAGAGAGAGAGAGAGAGAGAGAGAGAGAGAGAGAGATGGGACTCACCGAAGCATCCTCTCCCTTTCGATGAGCTCCTCGGGGTTGGGCTGGGCGGGTCCGAGCAGGGCATGGGAGAGCGGCGGGTACCTGGGTGATCTCCAGAGCATTTCGGATGCCACCGCTGGGTGATGATGTCCTGGTGGTGCTGAATTCTGGTAGCCGACCGGTGGTGCCGTGGCGGCAGCGGCGGCCGCTGCGGCCGCGGCGGCTGCGGAACTCGGGCCGGTGTTTGGCGGCGGTGCCTGGGGATGCGCCATGAGTAAGGACGTGTGTTGAACGCTTTGCACGTGCCAGACCCTGGCGGGCGTCGCGGCGGCCGCGGGTGCCGCGGACGTGGTCGTTTCGTCGACGCTGAGCGCGGAGCTTCTGCTGCCGCTTCTCTCGTCGCCGGAACCGGCGCTCCTCAAGGAGCTTACCCCGCTGTCGGAGCCGCTGTCGCCATAAGCTCCTGTAGCGGCGGCGCTGCCAACCGCGGCACCGACTGCCCGGATACCGACCGCTGCTGGCACACCGGCGAGGACACCAGTTCCAGGTATACCGGCCCCCGCCTCCACTTCCATGAGGCCGGCCTCATCGCCGCCCCTCGATGCGTGGGACTGCTGTTGCACCTCGTGGAGGCTCGACGGGGCCAACTGATGGTGAAGCTGGTGGTGCTGGAGGGGACTGTTCGCTACGCGATGCTGATGAAGCTGCTGCTGAGACTGATGCTGCTGATGCTGTTGCTGGCCGTGATGGTGTATCACCGGGCTGCTAGAGGCGTATCGTTGCTGCTGGTGGTGGTGCTGCTGCTGCTGCAACGCCTGCTGATGGTGGTGCTGATGGTATTGCTGAAGGTGGTGGTGATGGTGATGGAGACCAGCGCCCGGCGGTGGCGGCTTGTTCAATCTCTCGGCTAGGATGACAGGACTCTCGTTGTGCCGGTTACGCTCCTGCTCCCGCTGCTGCTCCAGGAGCAGGCTCTGCCTGCCAGAGCCGCCGCCGCCGCTGCTACTTAGCGGACTCAGTCTCTCCAGCACGGAGCCTGAGTCCTGACTGCTCGACTCCAGCAGCTCGACGACCGATTCGACGCTCGCCGCCCTCGCGCCGTTCACGCTGCCCACGCTATCCTCCGTGCCTAGCTCGGTGGTCGGCTCGGTCCTTCGCGAGCCCCTGTCCTCTTCCTCTTCGTCCTGCTCCTCCGCCTCCTCTTCCTCCTCCTCCTCGACGCCCTTTGCCTTCGACTTGCTCGCTGGCTTCAGCAGCTCGACGCCGGCATCGAGGAGGACTCCAGCTTCGTCACCGACCGCCGAAGAGTCGACTAGCGATCCATTCGCGTACACCTGTTCCTTGCTCTTCTCCCGCCCCGCCGTTCGAACCTCCTGTTCCGGGTCTAATCGATTCTCTTTAGGGTCCGAGTCGCCTCCAGGGTCGACCTTGTCCGGAGGTGGAGGCTCCGGTTCCCTGTCCCGTTCTCTGGACTGACTCTCCTCGTTTTCCTCGAGCTTCTCGACTTCTCCCTCGGCCCCGTCTTGCTTCCTTTCTTCCTCCTCGGTTTCCTCTTGATCGGAGCCGGTCTCCTCGCTACTTTTTCCCTTTCTCTCGGACCTAAGCTTTCTGCCTACGGGACATGTCCTCAGCCTCTTGGTCAGGGGGTCGCAAGGCTCTTCGTCCTCTTCCTCGGCCCTGTCTTCCTCCGACCTGCTCCCCAAACGCTCTTCCTTCTCGCAGGACTTTACGTTCGTCGAGCGATCGAGGTCTACCGACTCTGTTTTCGTTTCTTGCCCACCCGGCCTTGGTCTCCGTCGTACCGGTCGCTGCGGTGGACTCTCGACAGGACTCTTCACCGCGGTACCGCGTTTACGTAGTTTCGAGGCACTGCTGGACGCGCTGTTCGCCTCCTCCAATACCGTCCGCGGTATTCGATTGCTGGGTCTCCCCGATGGCGGACCCTTGTTCTCCCGATCCTCTTGTCGCGTCGACAGACTGCTCTCGGTGTCCTTTTCCGACCTCTCGCGACTGGCGCCCTCGCTCACGGGTCTTCGGCGACTGTTCCGCGATGTGCTCTTTTCTGCAACAAGAGTTAAAAAATTGGGTCATTTGCGGAAAAAGTGGCAAGAGAAATTACACACTGGACTTACTTTTCATTCACAAATTTACTCGCGACGAACAAACGGTCATTTACGAAACGATACGAGGTTGTTTATAAATATGATACAATTAGGTTTCGAAGAAGCGAATGTGAGAGCAAATGTCTGTGTGTGTCGTGGAACACTGTCTTGCGCAAGTCTACCGACCGCGTGTCCTGTTCAGCTCTCGCGAGATCCAGGTTTAAGTGTATGCAATTTAGATGTGAGTTTGGGCTCATTTTTGAATCGGCGCGCTTTAGGTACGCGGGTCCGTAATTAACGCACGCGTGTGATCAATGTCCGTTGCTCGGATGTTGTTAGGGACAAACTCCGAACAAGCGAGTCCATTTCGTAGGGTCGTATTATGTTGTTCGGCGCGTGTAATCGTGGTTATCGATCACGGGCTAGACGCACTCGTGACCGATACTCTCCGCGGCGAGTGGAAGCCTATCGGCGTAGCCTTGTTCAACCTTGTCGATTAAGGTCGATCGATTCGACGTAGCTGGTCGCCGCACCGGCTGTTCATCACCCGCAGCAATTACGGAGGAGGTTCGCTAATCTCTTCGATACACGCGCGCAATGCGCCGCATAATTTGACGACCTTTGAAAAAGGTTTGTTCCCCGGGTTCTGCCTCCCGACACGGATAACCGTGAAACTATGCGGGTAACAAATCGCGCGTCTCTGTTGCAATGGGAATTCCAGCTGGACTTAATTTCCGATCTACGCTCTAAGGTTCGTCCCTTTTCTCACGAAATGAAATACGAGGAAATTGGATCACCGAAGCCTTACAGAATCATCGAGCAGAATGAAGAGCAGGACGAACCAATTGCGGGAACATCCAACGATCCGCAACTAATCTCGCGGACACGTATTTCACGAGATCGACCTTCGAGATGCGCAGTGCGCCGACGTGGCTCTCATCTCCTTGACCCCGATCGGACTCGCCAGTTCCAATATTCGGTAGGGAACGATCGCTGCATCCGGGAATTAGTGTTCCGGGCCGTGTTCGTGCCGTCCTCGGGGAGTTCAAGGGTCTTCGGTTAGCGTCGTAGAGACACGACAGTGGCACCGGGGACAATTTATAACGATGCATTCCCCGGGCTGGGCTCATCGAAGAACGATAGGAGAAGATGAATCAGAGATCAGAGATGAATATGCAGTGTTCGGGAATCTCCCGAACGTAGATTTATTTTTATATTAACGCAACAAAACCATTACCAAATTTTCTTTTCCTATACTTTACCGATGCTATTAATTCAACAAAAATTCGACGACTATTCAGAATAACAGATAATAGCGTCGGAAATCAATTGCACACACGGTGCAATACTCTCTGATTAGGGACTCCTCTCTTTCTTACCACGTTAAGACATCGGAGAAAATCGGTGATAAGGAAACGTTTGGTATTCCAAATCGAGGGAAATTGGCTCGAGACTGGCGGAATCTAAGGGTCCGGTTAATCTCGTTCGAGGAAGTTCGTTCGCCAAAATCGGCCGTTTCTTGGCTCGTGGGGTTTATCGAAACGCCATTGACGATCAACGTTTTACGGGTAAATTAGACAGCCGACGAGAGGCTTGGCATGGGGCCTGCGAGTCTCGGAAGAAGAATAAGAAAACCGGGAAGGAGGTCTCTGGCGGCCGGCCAACGCTTTTATTTTTATACCCGGGGTCCCGGTGTCGTGCTCGCAGTCTTCGCCCTCGTGCGATCGCCATTTTCCCCCGCTTTCGCACGAAAATCTCCTTCGTTCCGTTGGAAATAAGTTTATCAACAAACGCGCGGGAGATCCTCGTGGCAGGGTGCTCCGGCGAAAATAGACCAGCGCTAAAATAAGCGCGGAACACGAGACGCTCTCGACGATTTTCTGACCCCTTCCCCTCTCCGATGCCTTCTTCATTCACCGACTTCGACATCTCTTCGAGGAAATTGGCACATACGCGTTTACTTTCTAAATTACTTTCGAACTAAAATAAACGAACCTCGGAACGAACGGTGAACTCTGGATAACTGGAGCACCGAGAACCGGACGATTTGGTTACAGTCATCCGAGGCTCTATGTATTTTACCATAGCCTGATTCGTGGACATTGTTCGCTGAGAAGCCCGGGAACAAAAGTAACGTTAGCGACAAAGCGAATAGACAAGTTTCGAGACAGGAGGGTCAACGGAATAATCGATGCGAGAGGGTGGGCGTATTGTCAACCGACAGGACAACCAAGGGCTACCTGTGCGCGACGTTCAGATTTTGACAAAGCGTTTAAATGCCCGACAGACTCGACCAGCCGGATCTAATTTCATCCCTGCGAGACCTGGGTCAGGACGAGTCGATATCCATCCAAGTGGGGGCTCGGCTTTGTCCCCTCTGACAAAGACCGTCTATATAGTTGTTTTTCCGAACTCTAGCCTTTTCAAAGGGCAACTCCTCCGAGCACCTCTTCGTAGACACGGGGAAATCGGGATTAGGAAAACAGACTGGGAACCGAACGTCCTATCAATCAATTTTTGGAAACGTTACTATTGGGTTGTCTGGAAAATTCATGCCGATTTTTTGTAGCTGGAACAGGTATGAATATGTATACATCCACTCTTAAAAGGTGGAAAGATTGTGGAAAATGGTACATATGTGTAGGACTTTAAACGAAAAAATAAGACTCCTTATTGTTGGGTGTGGGAGGCGCGGATACTACATATGTAATTGGATAAATATATATTAAAATTCAAATGTGTTTTTGAATCTTTCTTGAAAATTGCCACGAACTTTCTCGACAACTAAATAGTATCATATACAGTCAGTCCTGTAATTATTCGTACCTCCTATATCTATATCTATTAAGTCTGTCTAAATTAAATGATAGGTTTGATATTTTCAACAAAATATTTCGTTATAAATACATAAACGGTTAAAGTTTATGTAACTACTTACAATCAGATAGTTATTTGAAAATATCAAACCTATCATTTAATTTAGACAGACTTCTTTTAATAGACATAAAAGGTACGAATGTTTACGGGATTGGCTGTATTTTTATATTCCAACCACCACACTACGAAGGCATTTACGTAAAAACAATTTTTAATTAACGAAGAAAACTTGTGATATAATTGCTGTTACCACAAATCCACGGAACCTGGATGAAAACATCTAATCCATTCAGCTTGAACCAGCAGACTTCTCTACCTCGGACTAATGACGCAGTTCGTCCACACGCAAAATAAATGGAGGCTGAATGGTTTAAACGCAACGTCCTCGACACGACCAGGTTTAATCGTGTCGCAATTCCTAAACTCCGCCTAGGACACGCGTGAAGTTTGCTCGTTGGATCCGTTACGCGTTCAACAGCTGCGACGGAGTATCGAGTACCCGTCAATACGCGCTCTTCCCGTTTATCGTTCCACCTTCAACTGCGAACGTTCCACGGAGCGAAAAATCCAGCCAGCGGCGGAACACGTCCGGCCAACCCGAAATGCAAATAAAAATTTCGTCGAAATGAAAATTCATACCCTGGCTGTGTCGATGTTTTTCTTTTTTTTCCTCACCCCATGGAACTCGGAATTCCAGAGCCGCGTAATCCTGCCCCCTTTCGATATTCTGACGCGCGCGTTCCCGGAAATACTTTTCCCAGGAAAACTCGTGCCTGGGGATTTTATCTCGTCATTGCAGAAATTCGAATGAATGGGAATCTTTTTGGGGGATTAATTTGGAAATTAAGTCTTCTACGTTGAACACGACTAGGTCATTCCGGACCGATAGAAAGAGGATTGATGAGGAAAGAATAGAAATCACGGCAATGGTTAAATAGTGAGAGCTAAATGGACTAAATTTTAAAAATATGGCGGGAAATCACGGGTGTGGAAATTGCTTTTCGAACGACACCCTATAGAGGTTGTAGTAAGCATGTAGTGCTGCAAAACTTGGTTCAAAGTTTTTTATATGTATTCTTAGGAATTCGTAGGATTCTTCGAATCTCGACCGACGTTTATCGGAACATACTTTTTATATATTGTGTACTAAATGTAAAAGCTGAAATCGTTGTAAAGACTTGCCCACAGCAAGTAGATATTCCTCCACGATATGTTACCTTAAAGATTAATTTCAACCTTAAAAATTTTAAGTAAAAATATGCCTATACATATAAAAAGTATATTTTCTCAACTTTGAAGTTGATCTAAGCTTTCGTGGCACTAGAACGCTAAGAATGCACCTCGAGTGCAAAGGGTTAAACTTTCAGAGAGAATTCTTGAATTTTGGCCACCCCGTGAAACGGAAAGTCAAAGCCCCGAAGGGTCGGGTGCGCGAGGTTCGAGTCGGAAACGCGATGGGAGGGCGAGAGACAGGAACGAAAGCAGCGGGAGAGGAAGGAGAGAGGAACGGACAGGTGGAGGAGACGGAGAGACAGCGCGGCAGGGGAGGAGGAGAGACAGGGGAGAGGGATTTATTACTCAGGATTTACTGTTATTACCCGGAGGGGGAGAAGCACTCGAGCGGGCAACGGCGCTGCATACGTGGGGTGCGTTTATCCGATGCGCAGTGCTCCATGTATCCAGAATATGTACACGGGCTCATGTAACGCGAGGACGGCCGCGTTCGCAAACTCTCGACGTCCCGCGTTTCCTAGCGACTGCGGTTTGTCCTCCTGTCCTGCCTCGGTCCGCATGCATTACGCTCTGCGTAATTGAACAGCGCCAACGTGCTTTGCTTTACATTTTAATTCGCCCCGCCATTATTCCTGGGACGCCGGCAAAAGCGCCGACCGAGAGGGAGAAACAAAGTCCAGACGATTATTGTTCGAAACTGGGGGAGAGAATAAAAAAAAAAGAGAGGAAGAAGCGACCGGTTGTTCCTATTCCTTTCGACCGTGCCAGCCGAGGGCATTGTTCCACGGGAAAATTGCATCACGTTCCGAAGGAAGCTATCCAGGCGACGCGTTTCACTGCTAACTGATTC